TATAATACTGATGTTCCCATTAAATCTTAATGTCCTTTAATGTCAGTAAATGGAGATCTAGATTGTAATTTTTATTGCTACAGAGTATGACGTTGTACAAATGTACTGTAATTATAGTTCCATAGGTTGGATATTTATGTTGCTTCCAATGTTTTATATTTTTTTAAATGTAGTGAGAATACATCCTCTTATGAACATTGTGAAGTTGTCCAATGATTTCCCTAAAATGAAATATATCTAGAAATGATATTATTAGTAAAATGTAATAAACCACTTAAGGGCTTTTCCAAATTGAAAATTGTACAATTTATATCCCCATTTCTCCACTTTAGCCACCATTCAGTATTATTATTCACTTAATCTTTATCAATTTGATAACTAAAAAAGTGGCAACTTGTTTTCATTTGCATTTTTTTGAATATTTAATAGATTACTTATTCATTTGATTTTCTTCTTTTGCAAACATCCTGTTAATTTGGCCAGAATTTAACAACATCTTTTACAAAATATTAAAGATATTTTTGATGAAAAGTGTTCCATGATAAAATAGGCTTTGAAAACAGTTAAACAAAATTAACAGCATTATTCGAGTTAGGCTGCCATATTTTGCAAAATGTCCCTTAAGAATATGAACTTTTCATTGTCCTATGCTTACCAAGAAAACTGATTTGCACTTTTAGTATTCTGAATAGACACATGTGGGTAAATAGTCTTGGCTCTTGGACAAGGTATTTTATCTGGGGTGTGAGACGTGTGAATTTTACCCACTTGAATGGACCTTTCAAGACTTGTCTCCCACCCGGACCCCCAACGCTCCAACTCTTCCTGAGTAAATTGAGAAGTTGTTGGTAAACCTACATACCCATGAAACCTACTCTCAGTCTGGCCACCCAGTCAGAACCAGCCTGCAAGTCAGATAAACTTGTTTTATTGCATCTGCGGAGCTGATCTAGGAATGCTGCTCAAGAATTCCTTTATTTCTAATCTTCAGGGACCTCTTAAGAGTGTTTGCAGAGTGTTTACACACTGTAACTCTTAGGAGTTGAACTCATTGACACATGCATTTATCATGCTTGATTTGCATTAAAACACTTCAGTGTTTGGTCTTAATATCCTGTTAGGTTCTGGAGAGAACTGAAAGAAATGTAAATATTTTTACAGTTTTCCTCCAAATTTGCAAAAGGGGTAAAAAAAAGAAAACATACAGGAAAAAAATGGGTCAGCTAGACACATGAAGGAAGAAGCAAACTTTCTATTCAGTAGAAAACATGATTAAGTTTTTCAAATATTCAGTCTGCTAAAATTGAAGAGAAAATTTTTCTTTTCAAATTATGCCACTCTAGCCAGTGGTCATCTTGAGACATTTTCAAACACACATTCACCTTTTTTTTTTAATGCTTTCAACTGGCTTTAAAAATGGAATGTTTTGCTTTCTTCCTGATTTACCTTCTAAATGATTTGCACCCTATGACCTTACTAGCTGTTTTGCTTGGGTGACACTCAACAAATTGTTTCAACCGTGTTGCTTAAAAGTGACAAGTGATGGCTTATGACATTGCTTCCATTCTCCTGGATTTGATTGATAGCTGTTTTCCTCTGTCTATTTAAAGAAACACTTAAGCCATTTTTTGGGAAAAATCTAGGTCTTCCAGAGATTTTAGAGAATAAATAGTACAATCCTCTTATTTTACAGGAGAGGAAACAGAACCAGAGAGGTTGACTGACTTGTCAAAGGCCACATAACTAGTTAGCAGGAAAGTTGGAGCCATACGCCAGTTTTCTTGATGCTCCAACTCCAACTGTTTTCCACATTGTGCTAACTCCATCTTCTTTATGTGGATTGGATGGAAACGACTGCTCAGCTCATCACATATGCCCATTTGCTCTGTTTTGTTATAGGATCAAGTAAAACAGACAGCCTACTGTAGTCTGATTGTGATTATCTGCTAGCAGACAATTGCCTATGGTAGGGAAATTTAAATTAACACTGTTAATTTACAAATAATAATAATAATAATAATGTTAATCAATACACACTCTCAGTGGTGTGTCTTTTTGGCTTCAGTAAGGCCAATACTTATGAACTGTGGCCTGAACTGCTAAAGAAGAAGTTGACATCACTGGATTTCAGAAGGAGAAAACAATGGACATTGTCAGGGGGTCAGGAAAACCCATTCTTTCACTCACGTGTCAGATGCTCCCAGGGCTACTGCCGCAATGCCTGCGAGGCCTCCTAACACACCAGGTAAGCCGTGCAGGTTATGCACCCCACATGTATCTTGGATCCTCAGTTTAGTAGCAAAACAAGGCTAAAATTGTAAATAGAAGAAGGTATATTGTTTTGTTAGATATACAGAACTCTATAACTGATGTAGAAGATCATGCAGGAAAAATTTTATCTGTACACCTCTCCATCCATAATGAAAACCCTCTTAAGTCAGAATCTGAATACATTGGTGGCAAAACTGCTCATTTCACTCTTTAGTAGATGGATCTGAAGGTGAGTGATTTCAAGTGTAACTCCTCCTTACCCACTGATGGTATCCTAAATCCCCTTAAAAGGACACAGAGTTCATAATTATGCAAAACAAACAACAACAACAACTTTAATGGAAGTACCTTGCGGAAAGGAACAAAGTTGTTAACATTCACTTGTACTAACATAAATAATTGATATAGAGTATATTCCTTGCTGCCCAAAAGAAGTCAGGAAAGAGCAAAATCCAGTGGACACTGAAATGTGAGTGGTAAGGCAAATGACCCCCCAAACAAGAAGAGGTGCTTGTGAAAGGAATTTTCATAGCTTTTTTTTTTTTTTTTCCTCCTGGTGGGATGTGAGAAGATGATGGTGCAGATTCAAAGTTTGACTCAGAGCATCTGCCATACTTACAGTCAGAAACTTAAATCCAAGCACAGAGACCATCCCTGCAATGCTCCCGATGATCATGGAAATGTATGGGTGAATTTCCATGTCTGCACAAGTGCCCACAGCGACTCCTCCAGCAAGGGTTGCATTCTGGATGTGAACCTGTGTGGAGCACAAGAAACTTGAACGAAGTGAACTGGGTGAGACGCAGTTCAGGACAAGGAAACCTAGGGTGCAATGGACTTCATGGCACATTCTTCAGTCAAAAGGACTGCTATTGGGTCGTTGGGAAAGTCATGACGCATTTTTGCATTGATTATACTTTTTGTAAAAAAAGTAATTATACTTTTTTAGATAATTATTACTTTTTAAAAGATTTTTCTCAAAATGTAGCTAAAATACGATATTAGATTAGTTTCAGAGGTATACCATAGTTATTCAACATTTATAGACCTAAAGAAGTGATCACCATGATAAGTCCAGCAACCATCAGACACTGTGCCATGCTATCACGATATTATTGACTATATTCCCTATGGTGTACATCACATCCCCATGACTTATTCGTTTTATGCCTGGAAACTTGAACCTCTTATTCCCCTTCACTTTTCTTTCCCCTTTTAAAATTTTTCAGTTATAGTTGACAGTATTATTTTATATTAATTTCAGGTGTTCAGCATAGTGATTAGACATTTATATAATTTACAAAGTGATCCTCCTGACTAGTCTACCCACCTGGTATTACATAGTTATTACCATATTATTGACTATATTTCCTGTGCTTTACTTTACTTCCCCATGGCTATTTTGTAATTACCAACTTGTACTTCTTAATCCCTTCACCTTTTTCACCCTGACCCCCAAACCCCCTCCCATCTAGCACCCTGATAAATTTAGTCCCCATTTGATACCATACATAGTTATTGTAATATTATTGACTATATTTCTTATGCTACAGCCTATATCCCCATGACTACTGTGTAACAACCAATTTGTACTTCTCAACCCTTTCCCCCTTTTCACGCATCGCCAACTTCCCTTCCATCTGGCAACCATCAAACTGTTCTCTGTATCTATGAGTCTGTTTGTTTTGTTTGTTTATTTTGTTCTTTAAGGTCCAAATATAAGTAAACAGAGGTCTTCCTTCTAAGCAGTTGACATTTGATATCTTTCTTGCCAGGATTTCTTGATAGTACATTACCAATCAGGTTAGTGAGACCAGTGCTGGGAGGTATGTGAGGAAATCAAAAGAAGTTGTAGTGGAAGAATAGGAGTGTGTAGAGCAATTATGATAGCAGGCTTTTTCCTGTTTGGGAACGCATCTGTGGTTATGAGCCAAAAGAGTTCATAACCTATGGCTGCTGTATGCTTTGTGGTCTATGATATTCCAGCATTCAAAGATGGAATGTAGAGACATGAAAATGTACACATTACACATGACAGACAACAGCTTTCACAAATGCCACTGTACCGAGAGCTTGAGGATGAAGGAAAGAGTCACCGATTTCTATTTCTAAGAATTCCTCAGAAAAATCACATTTTGGCTAGTCTGCCTGAGAAGAAAATTTTCTCAGCACTTTTAAAAGAGAACCACTGAGCTGTACATTGATGAGTCAGAATAAAAGTTAATGAAAACAAGTCTGGGATGAACAGGAATAAGCCTAAAGATTAACTGATGAGTCACAAACAGTTAATAAGAATGAGTCTGGGAGCTAACAAGAATAGGTTTAAAGATGAACCACTTAAGCCAACCGCCACAATAGCTCTCAGAAGCAGGCAGCTGCAACTGTAAACTGCAAGGTAAGTAGCCACCAGCATCTGACATAAAAAATATGAAACCCCTGCATTCTTTCACCCGGGAGCAGCCGTCTCCTTTAGACACTGCCATGGGCCTTCTCTCTCTGCCCAACTTTCAATAAAAGTTTCTTTTCTGAGTCTTGTGAATTCCTTTACCTTCTGCAAACGGCCTGGGGGTTACATGTATGATTTTTTTCTCTTTTCATTATTTTCAGTTTTCTCTCATGAAACAATTATCAGAGAATTGAAATACATGTCCTCAGCTATGCTTAAAAAATGACAATATTCTTTTCTTCCATCAGATTAGAAAAGAAGAGTGGCTGTTCTGAGGATTATTCCTTTACTGCCATTTCTGTAGCTCAGAGGCAAGAAACTAAGACAAACTTGGGGGATTTAAAAAAAAATGTTTTATTTTCAAATAATTTCAGAGTATGTAAAAGTTGTGAAAATACCGCAGAGCGTCTCCATACATCCCTCATCCAATTTTTCCCAATATTAATATCTTGCATAATCATAGAACTAGAAAATCAGCATTGATATAATACTATTAAAGACCTGGCTTGAATTTCACTAGTATTCCCATTAAGTCCTTTTTCTTTTCCAAAATTTTATTCAGGCTCCCACATTTAATTTGGTTGTTATTTCACTGAGAGGAATATTTGCAATTAGGAAAATAGAATCGACTTGTATCCCCCACTCTCTTTTTCTACACTTGATAAGTCCTGTTTCCGAGGAAGGTGTTTTAAGAACTTGGGGACAGTTAACTCTATTATTAAAGAAATGTGTCTCAGATCTTTGATTCTTATAGGGCTATATTCCCTACTAAACTGTAAATTCCTTGATAACACTTTTTAATTTGCCAGAGTACAAATTTGAAGAAATGAATGAATAATGTTATCTTCAAAGTATTCTTCAAGGCCTGCAGGGTTGTGATTTGTTGTGGCAGCTTAGCTGTAGTGCAGAAACGACCTACTCCTCTGAGAAACCATTATTGTCACTTAGTGAAACTTCCATAAGAGTGTGGTCGAGGAGCAGTTTACTATCCCCAAATATGCCTTTTTTGGGACATTGATTATTTTAAGTTGGTTAATTTTAAGAAACAAAGCACTTTGACCTTCCTCCTAACTACCTAACAAAATTTTGATAGAGGACCGGCTCCAGGGAGGGGGCTATCATCACTTATTTTAATATAAACTAGGTGTGACAGACAGGGAGGAACCCAGTAAGGCTCCTCTGATCAAAGGCCTTTCTATGTCCCATTGTTAAAGATGGCCCAACAAAACATTTTTTTACCAAACGTTTGCTTCTCCATTTCCATGTGAATTATGCTCCTCGCCTTTGACATCTAACCACCCCTCCCCCTCTTCTCCTTAGCTCAAAATGGGACGTAAACCTCAACTGTCCAATTTCTTCTTGGGTCTCATATTTTAATGGATCCCCATACGAACATACAAAATTAAATTTGGTTACTTTCTCCTGTTAATCTAATGTTAATTTAACTCTTAGATCAGCCAGAAGAACTAAGAGGGGAAAGGGAAAATTTCCCCTCCCCCGAGGAGTTAATATGACACTTACCATATCAAGCTTGCCTCGGTGTTCAACGAGGCTGGAGAACGCATAGGCTGTGAGCACGCAGGCAGCCAGAGAGAAGTACGTGTTTACAATGGCCCTGTACTGTTTCTCTCCAGGGTCAGCGATGGCTGAATTAAAGCTGGGCCAAAATATCCAGAGGAAAAGCGTTCCTGGAGTAAACCACAAAAAGGGATATTAGTTTCGAATAGGGAAGATAGTCCAGGGGAGGTAGTTTGCCTTGGGCACTAACAGTGTCTCTACAGTTTAGGCTTAGTTATGTAAGAGGGGAAAAGCCAGCACAAACAAAAGTCAGAGGATGTTCCTTTTTGATCATCTTCACACCTGTGTTGGAGTTAACCTCCCCTCGTGCCTGACCAGACAGGAACCTGGCAAGTTCATTCCTACTCACCAATCATTGCAAATAAGTCCGAGTGATACACAGACTCCTCGTTGGCATGTCCCCTTCTCAGGCCTGGTCGATATAAGATGCCTGCCACAGCCAGGCCGAAGTAGGCCCCGAAGGCGTGGATTGTCATCGATGCTCCTACGTCGGAGGCCTGATGGGGCAACACATTCATGTAAATAGAGGTGAAAGAGAGTCTCACCACTTCACTAGAAGTAAAGTCAGAGAAAGGAGTGCTTTATTGGTGAGACAATAAGGAACACTAGATCAAGAGAGAGAAAGAGTATGTCAGAGAAAGGGAGATAAAACAGGCTAGTGAGGTAGGAAAAATGTAGGCTTTGGAGCCATACAGAACTGACCTTCAATCCTAGGTCAGGTACTTCCTCGCGATGCGGCTTTAGGCAAAATTACTATCCACTTCTCTGAATCTCAGGTTTTGTAAAATGGGGAGATAGTACCCAGTACTATATAAATGAGATTATGTTCATACAGTGCTAGATCCTTAGTAGGCACTCAATACATTTTAGATTACATCTCCAGGTTAAGGAGATGCTCAGTGAAATAGTACGCATAGCACATGGTACAAAACACAGATGAGTTTTGCATTGACTTGACATTGCAGCTAAAGTTCACCTAATTGCAACTCAAAAACCTGAAGCTACAAAAAGCCTGAGTCTTTCCCGTACTTTTTCACTCTGCTGTATGATGATAATGAAAACCAGCCTGAGGTCCACGATTCATTTGAAGAAATATATTTTAGGTCCCCCTGTAGGACACTATGGGTTTGAACTGGTTTTCTACGTTTCCTGCCTCTAGAAGGAAAGTTCAGAGTGCCAAACCTGAGACATTGCCCTGTACCTATGAAGGTAGGAAGATGATGCAACTTGATTAATTTATTTAAGATTTTCATACTCGATAAACTCCTATACCTTTCAGGTCCAGTTTACCTGTCATTTCCTCAGAGAGCCGTTCCTTGGCACCTCAATCTAAATTAGGTTACCCAGGTACATTCTCTCATAGCCCACTCCACTATTTTTCATAGTATGTGTTATAATTTATAATATTTATATGTGTGTGTGCATGCATATACTCGTTTGCCTATGGGTGGGTGAACGTATGATTTGTTTGATGTCTGTCTCCCCCTCTAGATTGTAAACTCTATAATAATAGGGATCTTAACTATTTTGTTTGTCACTGAATCACCAACACATGACACCTAGAAAGTTGTAAAAAATAATTGCTGTTGGATTAAATGTTAAATAGGAGCATACACAAAATACTGGAAACTGCCCAGTTATAATCCTTGGGGGACTCAATGAGATTTTTATGGAGAAGAAGAAATTTGACGTAGGCCTCACTAAAAGACTTAGAAAAGGCTATTCACCCAGTGGTTGAAATAGAAATAGGAACTGGGCCTTGATAGGAAATATAATAAAAAGAGTTTTGCAGTTAGAAAAATCTGGGTTTGAATCCAGATTCTGGCAAGTCATTTAGCATCTGTGATCATCAGGGTTTTTTGTATATAAATAATAACAACAACCATACCCACCTTACAGTGTTGGGATGGTGAAATAAGACAATGTTTATGACTGTAAAACTCTTGGCTTACAGTGGGCACTCAAAAAGCATTTCTTTTTTTTTTTAGCTGAGCCATCCTGCCACCTCTTGGCAGCTCAGTGGCTGCTCAGCTCGGGCTGGACTTGAACTGCTGTTGCTCAGAGCTCAAACTCTTGAGCGAGCTCTTAACCAACTGAGCCGCTCAGCCAGCCCCAGTAGGCACTCAAATACATGAGGACTATGCTTACTATTTGCTGTGGTATCTATCACTCTCACCAAGGACTGTCCCTGCATAGAGCAGGCATCCAATATGTATTGTGACCACAACTGGCATCCCAGGAGAGGTTAAGTGTAGATGTTCTAACTCTTACCTTGAATATCTCAACAACCAGATATTCGTTGCCAGCAAAGACAGTAATTTCTAGCAATGTCATGATCAGCATTTGGATCGGACTGATTTTTCCCAGGACAGCTCCGAAAGAAATCAAAACGGTGGCCGTACTGAAGTCTGCATTTATCATGCTGAGGGAAAAAGAAAGAATACGTTAAAGAATAACGCATACCCAAAATAAAACTGCGAGTTGTAATGAGTTATAGCGTACCTTCAGCCAGAGGGCAAGGCCCTCCTTGCTATCGCCCCCATCAGGCCCTTCCTCCAGGCCCACTTTTGCCCTCCCCCACTTCCTCACCCCTCCTCTCTTCCATTCCTCATACATTCTTTAGTTGCTCTAACATTTCCTTTATCTTAACCCACCTGGTCTTTATCTCGTTTTCGGTTTTACTTTATTCTTGTTGATCTGAATAATGAATTATTTTCTAGAGTGCTTGCATTTCAAAAACAATCTTAGAAAAACAACTAACGGTGTATTTTTGCTCCCCGTAGCTGAGGTGGAGATGGAAGGAATAATAATGTTATGCAAGGGGATTTCTTATACCCTGAATGTCAGACCAGAGAGGACATAGACATGCATGTGTGATCCAGCTCAGTAAAACAAGGTGTTGATTTGCATCTTTGGATCTCAAAAACCTTCTGTTGCCTAAGGGAGACCATGCACCAGCAAGTTCCGAGGCTGACTGACAAGAGACTAAGCAGAGGTACAACTGCTCTGAAAACACAGTGGTTGAGAACTAAGGGATGCTCACTTTATAATTCCAACGTTAATTTTCTGGTTATGGCTGTGCAAGATTCCACATATAAGAGTGCCCCACTGGAGGCCCAGAGCAGCAATGAGTAGGTTGATGGCCACACTACTGAAACCATATTTCTTCAGGAAGGTCATGAGGAAGCCAAACCCAACAAATATCATAACATGCACATCTTGGAATACTGCAAAAGAACAGAGAGGAAAAAAAAAAAGTCTGCATTAGGGGAGCACTAAGAAAGTGTTACATCATAGCATACATTGTTTATTAACTGCTACATCCTTTGCATGAGACCGTGCAAAGGGAGAACATTAACTGGGCAGCCAAAGCCTGGATTGCAGTGCCAGCTTGGGTACTTACCAGCCACGAGACCTTGGGCGAGTTATTCAGTATTTGAGCCTTTTCTTGGGACACTGAGCACTATCATCAGTATGCCTTTCACAGCGTGCTTTTCATTGCCTCCCTGAAGAGTTTTCCATTACTTTCTACTTGAGGAAAACTTTGCAAAGCACAGTGCAAGCATCACCTCTTCTTGCAGACTTTCCCAATACCTCCAGGGAAAATTAATATTTGCTCTTGTCTTTCACACAGCTTTCTGCATGTACCTCAGCTTTAACATTTGTCACATTGTATTAGCATTTATTTAGCATTTAATAGTCGATGAGGGACCCATCTCCTGCACTAGGCAGTGAGTTTCCTGAAGGATGAGATTAGGACATATTCATCCACTGCTCCCCAGAATTTGGCATAAAAGCCTACATATAATGAAAGAGGCAATAATGACTAAATAAATGAGCTCTGGTCTCCATTTATCAAATGTATATAATAGCACCAGCCTTGGAAATCTTGCCAGACCTTTATTTAAATCAAATGAGATAATGTCTTTGTTAGCACTTTCTAAACCAGTGTAAAGAAGGCTGTATCCTTTTGAGGAGCAGATGCTTGAGTTGGTGTCAGTCCCCCAATTCTACCACGTGATTGTGTGACCTTGGGCAAGTCATTTATTCTCTGTGAGCTTCAGTGTTCTTATTTGCAATACTGAAAAGGTCCTGTTTCACGAAGTGACTCTGAGTGGGATAACCTCTGTGGGAAGGAACGTGCAGTGAAGCGCTATATGGATAAAACATATGATCAAATGTGACATAGTGAAAACACAGGTTCTTCCCTCAAGAAACTTGCAGCTTAGTTGGCTAGACATATATTTGATAGAACCATGTGAAATTGATATTTCTGCATTGAAATTGCCCATGAAAATGGTCCAACTATTGGCAATTTCTTGTAATTCAACCTGAGAGATATACAAAGCAAACTGAGACCAATTGGGAACAAATATAGAACCAGAGAGAAAAAAAAATAACACGTTTAAATGTTGAATTAATATTCACCATTGTGGCCAGAGGTTTAAGTGGAAATAAGCACGAGGGAGGACATGCCTAGAAGATACATGTCAAGGGAAACTGATGTTAGAATCCAATTAATTTTTTTTCAATGTTATGACTTTGATTAAACTAAATTTTATTGGGGTGACAATTGTTAGTAAAGTTACATAAGTTTCAGGTATACAATTCTGTAATACATCATCTATATATCACATTGTATGTTCACCACCCAGAGTCAATTCTCCTTCCATCACCATATATTTGATCCCGTTTACCCTCATTTTCTGCCCCCCTCTCCCCTTACCTTCTGGTAACCACTAAACTATTCTCTATGTCTATGAGTTTTCATTTTTTATTTGTTTGTCTTGTTCCTTTGTTATTTTCAGTTTAATATCCCACATATCAGTGAAATCATATGGTTCTCAACTTTTTCTATCTGACTTATTTTGCTTAGCATAATAATCTCAAGGTCCATCCATGTTGTTGCAAATGGCACCATTTCAGCTTTTCTTATGGCAGAACGGTATTCCATCATGCATATATACCATATCTTCTTTATCCAATCACCTATCAAAGGACACTGGTTTTTTCCATGTCTTGGCCACCGTAAATAAAGCTGCAATGAACACCAAAGCACATATATCTTTACAGATAAATATTTTCAGATTTTTTGGGTATATATCTAGGAGAGGGATTGCTGGGTCATATAATAATTCCATTGTTCATTTTTTTTTAATTGGGAAATTGGGGGAAGGGGAACAGACTGCTGTCCTTTTGTTCTTCAGTCTCGTTGTGGAGGATGTTGCTTCACTGGCCCAAGCTGGCACCATCATTGAGCTCTTCCTGGGCGAGGCAGATCAGTCGCCGGCTTCTGGACAGCCACTCACTGCGGCTGCTGGCCGCTCACGCTGGCTGCTGGCTACACACGGTAGCCCATGGCAACCCACTGCAGAAAGGGTTGCAGCCTACGCCGTCACCGGCGACTCATGGCAGCCCAGCTCCAGGTTGAGCTGTTGTTCAGCATCTTAGCTGTAGAGGGCAGTGTCACTGGCCCTCATATGTGGGATCCGAACCGGGGCCCTCTGGTGCCCCAAGCCAGCTCTTAACCATCGCGCCACTCGGCCGGCCCCCATTGTTAATTTTTTGAGGAATGCTACATTGCCTTCCATAACGGCTGCACCAACCTGCATTCACACCAACAGTGTATGAGGGTTCCTTTTTCTCCACAGCCTCTCCTACACTTGTTATAATTTGTCTTGCTGATGATAGGCATTCTCACTGGAGTGAGGTGATATCTCATTGTGGTTTTTATTTGCATTTCTCTGATGCCTAGTGATGTTGGGCATCTTTTCATATGTCTATTGGCCACCTGTATCCAAAAGGTGGAGTCTGGATTAGAATTCAGGCCACCAATTCCTCCGTGCGTTGAGCACAGCAGGGGTATGGATAACCAAGGCAGAGTTCTGGCCTCCCTGGCACTCAGAGACATGTCACTACCCCTTGACTCTCTCTACCTTGGTTCTACTATCAGGCCCAGGAGACAGTGAGTTTAGGGTGGGAGACAATGCCACTCAGGTTTGTCCCCTGTTGCACTGCCTAGATCCCCCCTTCAGAAAGGAAGCATTGATTCCTTCCATCCCCCTGGCTGTAGGGAATGCTGCCAGATGACAGCCCTAGGCTCTTAATTCTCTTTGGACATTTTGTCACAGCCCTTTCCTAGGGTAGCCTGTGCCCAATGGCTGATTCACATGAGCATCCCATTCCCTTGCCTCAGGAAAGGACCACCAATAGCTAGATAACCCCAGTCTCAGAGTTTCCTGTGGGGTCAGCTGAGACCTCTCTCCGCCCAAACCCTTCTGCTGCAGGTGTGGATCCTTAAGGCACCCCTTAATAAACTTCTTTCAGGCTAATGTCTGTCTTAGAGTCTGTTTCCTGAGGAACCCAACCTGTAGCACCTTCCTTATGGGCTTCGCCAGCCTCTGCAGAACTTTCCTGACTTTCTCCCTGACAGAGCTTGCATACCACATTTATTTCAAAATTTGCAAATTAAATCCAATAAACGAATCTGTGGCAGTGATCACACCCGGAAGGGAATGAAGAAGCTGGCTTTTCAAAGCTACCCAGCATTTGAAAAGGGTCCCTTGGAGGCATGGGGACTTATCCTGAAGTATTACTCTATGACAAATAACAGGATAGGCAGATATGATTAGCCTCATAAATTGAGTCACTAGGGTCCTTTAGTGGTGTGGAAGCTGGTCTAACTTTTGCATGAG